AAGAACATTCCTTCATGGGATTTTACAGGTAATAACTCCCGAAAATTGCCAACAAAACTACATGTATAGTACTAACCTGTTATCATTTTCATTATATTCAGATTGTTCAGTTTAAAATTCCCCCTCTGACCATGCCAGGAGCATTTTGTTGCCAGTTCATTGCTGAAAATCTTCGATAAGCATCGGTTGATGACTGATGTGGTCTCTGAGGTCTCTACCTCCTACTGATTTGATAATGGATACACAAAATTGCTTTCATCGATGTCGGAAATTGTGATAGAGTCACAACGGTAGGTGCGGTATTCAATGTGGTATCTGATACTACCTGGTGAGAATCATCATCTACGTTATTTATGATTATTACGTTCACATCGTTATTTTCACTACGTTCTTTCAATTGAGAAGCCTGAATAGCCTGATCTTGATTAGTGGTACAATCTCGTTTCGATAATTTACAACGTATATCACCAGAAGATAAAATGCGACGCTTCTGCCTCTCACACAAATTGGAAAAATCGCGAGGAATGATCTAATGATCTATTTGTAAACTCGATACTTGATTCGACAAAGCAAAGAACAATATATGAAAGAAGTTTTTACTTGCCTTGACAAAAAAATTATCCCCTTATCCTGGAGGAACAATGAGGAAACAATCACATGCACCCAATGATGAAACGCGAGATGCTAACAACGAACATCGAACAACGACCAACCAAACATAACCTAAAAATCGTTACCGGCCCGGACCCACAGAACCACGAATCGGGCGTGGCGTCAGCGCGTCGCGCGAGATATGAAATTCGGTGATTTTCAATATTATCATTTCATGTAGGTAACATGTTTGATGAAGGTAACTACTGTGGTAATTATTTCGATGAGGGATCTCATAATCACGTGTCTGTGATCGATAAACTACCGTAGTTTATTGTGACAACTGATTTGTGACCATATAGTAAATTTTTTATATCACTGTGATATCAAATTGACCTCACTTTTTTATATGAATAGTGTTCCCGAAGTCAAGAGGAAATTATGAAAAAAATACTGTCTCAAGAATAAGTCAGATATTCCACGTCGTATATCATCTGACATAACTTGCATAAACAGTGAACACCTACACATATTATTGATATGTATTATGAAAATATGAAAACGTGAATTCTGGATCACGCTTACGTCGTTATTACGTAAATTTGAGAAAGAATACTAAGAAGTGCAATTCTACAAAAATCCATTTTACATAAAACTGGCATAACTTGTTTACATAAATAATGTGTACCTACTATTAAATATATATTTCGTAAATGCAACAAAGTAAATTCGGGATCACGCCTTTCACGTAAATTTGAGATGAGAAATTACCATTATGGAAGCAATTGAATATGTATTACGTGATGAAAAAACGTAAATTTGGGATCACACTTTTTACGTGGTAGTTACGTAAATTTGAGATAAATATAATTATCATTTTGAAGGAAAGGCAATTCCTTGAATCTCTTTTACATAAAATTGACATAACTCTTTGATATGAATTGGAGGTACATACTATTGAGTCTATATTACGTAAATTCGACATCACACTTTTTACGTCGTAGTTACGTAAATTTGAGATAAATATAATTATCATTTTGGAGGAAGGGCAATTCCTCGAATCTCTTTTACATAAAATTGACATAACTTGTTGATATAAACCGGGGGTACATACTATTGAGTCTATATTACGTAAATGTAGAAACGTGAAATCGCGATCACACTTTTTACGTCGTAGTTACGTAAATTTGAGATAAATATAATTATCATTTTGAACGAAGGCCAATTCTTCACATCAATTTTACATAAAATTGACATAACTTGTTGACATAAATAGGGGGTACCTACAATTGCATATATATTACGTAAATGTAGAAACGTAAATTCGGGATCACACTTTTTACGTCGTAATTACGTAAATTTGAGATAAATTATTATCATTTTCAGAAAAGGGCAATTCTTCACATCTCATTCACATAAAATTGACATAAATTATTTACATACATTATGTTCTCTCTTTTTTACTGAAATATTACGTAAATGTGACAAGATTGTTTACTGGGATAGTTCTTGTTCTCATCCTTACCATTTTCAAAATACCTTTATCCAAATCAGAATGCTCAATACCAGAGGTTTGTAACAATAATCAGAGGTATTTAAATTGTGCTTTATGCTCAGGCCACGCAGCTCAAACGATAAAAATTCGTCAATCACAATTTTGAATAATAACAATTATAACAATAACCCTAACCTCACCACTTGAAACCGGTCACGGGACAAAATTCTGTCAGAACAGTTTCGTAAGAACGGCAATTTTGTAATCTCACACAAAAAATGGTAGAGTAAAGTTACGAAGGACCGCGTATCCTAATCGACCAATCACTTTGGTTTGCTGAATACGACGATACGAGAATACGATAATACGAAGCATTATACGAGGACTGGGAATACCCCTATGTAACTTTTGTTGTAATTGGTAAATTATTGAAGTGTAAACTTCTTTTTCTACATGCGTGAGTGATTCACCCTATACCCATACGCAATTCAGTTTGGGAGGTGCATATGTACACATTTTGCGTATTTTAAGAATTTCCGCCAAATGTTCCACTAGGGTTAATTACAGTATAAGTTTTACAGAAAGATTTTGAGGATGGATTCTTTGAACAGTTGATACAGAACTATATTTCATTTTGAAAGTGAATTCAAAATGATCATAAACTTTGAGATCTCTGCTTTGAGTTATGTTCAAAACGACCTCCGTACAGAGTTAAGACGACGTAAAAAGTATGAATGTATACTCTTTTTACATCAATCCCTCATCGTTCTTGAATATATTGACTGCATTTTGGATTTCTAACCGCGATTCCCTTATATTATTAACGAATCTGAAGTATACCATCGTTTTTAAAAACTCCCATAAAAAATAATCCAACGGCGAGTCATATCCGGTGAGCGTGGCGGCCAGTTTACAGCAGCGTATCATTTCCTCTGTTCGAAAAAGGTTGATGCAAATAATTGCGGACTGTTGAAGCTAAATGTTTGACACTTATTATTGGTCTACGAGAGATCAAATTTTAACACTCTGAAAATACTTCCTTATACAGCTAGGTACCTACCAATGCTCAGAATTGACCAAATTGAATGGAATTCATGGAAAATAGGCGATAATTGCTGTATAATTTTTACTTCCGATTAGTCGAAATTCCACATAATTACTGTTTCTGACCAAAAAGTGATTATAATCATTAGTTTTGTGGATGTGATTATGTGAAATGAATAAATAAAAAAAAAAACAAAATTACTCTAGATTGAATTTATGATAATTATTGGAAATTACTGTATATATTTCAGAAATTACTGAATTAATGGGAATTATTGACGAATTATAGATAATTACAAAATCATAATGAAATTCACTAAGAATGCACAGTAATTTCATGCTATACGTTGGCACACGGCTCACCCTTCGGGATTTTTTTACTACTCAGTCAGTTAAGTCACTACAGAAAATTTTCGGACCAGCACTCTCGCGCACGTCCGATCCTGCATCATTGAAATTGCGAATCACTATCGGCCTCAACCAGGGCCTACTCTATCTCACTAGAGTAGGCCCTGCCTCAACACTCAACAGTAAATGCCTCCGCCTATACAATTAACCATCAAAACGCTGTCTGGGTATTTTCGTTTCTGAAGATTCCATAACGGGGAGACTTTTATTTTACAGTATCAATGATGTAGATATGTAGATTCCGTGATTACTTCGGGATATCACACGTTAGTAAACAGGGTTGGCACTTGTGGTCAGTAGCGTAATTAAATTCATATCCCTAGGTCCATTGTCCAATATATATATATACATCAGTATTTAGGAAAAAGAAAAGCAAAATACACGTAACTCACACACATTTGGTAACAATAACAATAACAAATCAAATGATATCACATACCAACTGGTAAAACATTGAAATATGAACAAAAAAAAAAAAAACAAAATTACAAAATTAAAAATTCGAATAATTCAGGTACTGAAAAATAAAATTGATATAATATGAAATCTAAAAAGGTACATTGTAAAAATATTTAGGTGGTAGAAAAGGTAATACCAAATATAATATCAAATTACTAAGATTTACATTACATATTATCATCGCATCGCAGTGCAGATAGGAAGAATATTCAAATTTACATAGGGTTCTAACCTCCGATATTCGTTCAGAGGTTCTAACAAATTACGAATTGAATTCCTTTGTTGTTTCCTATAATACTCATGTCTATTTTTCCATTATTAGAAATGTTTACCAAATTGCTTCGGTTTTTCAGCTAGCTCTGGGGGGGATCCAGACCCAGACCCATGGAACCACTGCTTGTGGTACTAGATTTGAAACGGATAAGCACGTGCATCGAAATAGAAATAGAAAACTTCTCGTTGATCGAATTCGAAAGAGCTTGTGGCAACACTGCTCATGCTCTGATCTGACATTCGTGGATAGAATATGACATTGGCCTATTTTTCTTATTTTTGACAACATAAATAAGTACTAGGCTAATACATCTCAGCTAATACTAAAGTATTCAAAATCAAAAATATCAACAAAATAATTGAATAAAAATAGTTTTCTTTGGTTTCGAGAAGGTGGGTGCTTGTGAGTAAATTATTTGATCTTTGTTGTTGATGTAGTGTCAGGTAGATACTATGAAAAATAATTGGAACCATACCATCAGGTCCAGCAGATTTGATCAGACAATCTCACTAATCTCAGACATTCCGTTTATTAATTTCTTACCTCTTCACATAATCCCTATTGATAAAAAACGTGGAATTGAAACCGAATCTTTTCAATTTAACTTGTGGAAAAATGGACACATCTATCATCCATCTAACCATTGTTCCAGTCCCAGCTTATGAATCTTATTTCCAGGTTGTTTATCTCTCACAAATTCCTTGTTTGGAACTATTCAGAAAGAAATGTCATGGTGTTGAAACAAGTGATTTACTAGCATGTGATAAAAAGAGATACAATGGTCATGTGGAAAATGGAATTCTCAAATGTGCTTATCTAGGACATAATAAATAACTACAGGTGAGAAACATTTTTCAAAATCATCTCAGTCCTTTCTGCACCTTTTTTGAATCAGAAATAAGTAAGCTCCATTCTAAAGAAGATTCAGTATAACCTCATTTCCTGAAAATCTGACACTGAAATGACAAATTTTCTATCTGTGAGGAAGGGGGAAGACTTCAAAAAAGATAATTGATTAGATTTTCAGGATATTCTTTCACTTCCTATAGTTCAGCAGATTTCAAAGAATCACTTAGGAAATTATTCTCCCACTCAAAGGAAGAGATAGTTGAAATCTACATTGCTAATATTGATATTAATTTTTATTGGTTTATACATATATAGAAAAGTAGGTACTTAGTAGGTGGAGGTACATTTGAAATTTACATAATGTGTTACTTTACACACAAAATAACAGAAACATCATAATATCAATAATACAGATGAAAATAAATACATTTACAAGTGTAACAAGAAGAAAGTGAAAATATATACATAGAAGTGGATGAATTAGTTAGATAGATTGAACTGGATGAATTATCACTAGCAATATGCATCAGCAAAACTTTTCATAGTCCTCCTTCTACACTCATGTGTAATTTATACAAGACTTATGTCAGACCTAACTTGTGGAATTTGCTGCTCCTGTCTCATCACCCTGGTTGATTTGAAATATCAAATTAAATGAGGGTGTCTAGTGTCCTGCCACTAAATGGACTGAATAAAAAATCTGGTGATCTGATTGTGAAATTTTTGAAATTGTAACAAATCCAGTAGACTTATCTAGAGTGTTCAAAGTGAATGAGAGTGACAGGTTGCCCAATTATTTATTCAATCCTCATTAGTTATTATTTTAGAATTAAACAATTACTCTCATGATTATGTATACCTGACTTGAGAATAAAGAGTTTACTCCAGAGTTTATAAGTTTCTAGCTTCTACTCTTGTGAGTTTGTAAATAAATAAATGAATAAATACATTTTTTTAGTTACAATCTTGTAGGAAAGCATCTAGGGGTCACTCAATTGAAATACATTTTTTTTCAATATATTGGAACAAAAATCCAATATTTTGAAAAAAAAAATCATAATCTGAATTTTGTATCTTGAACCACCATGTATTTGTTCCAATAGAGCAGTCAGCTAGCATTGAGAGAAAAAAATGTCTTCCCCATCTGTCCTTGTCTTCAGTGTTCCAACATAACCTAGTGAAAATTTTATGTTGGCAACACTGGATGTGAGAAGAAATGGAGAAGAAGACCATTCTCACCTTTTTCGTGAGGTTGATATGATCTTTATTTTTTCCCATTTTCAATGTCACCAACATATAATTTCCATTATTTTATGTTGGAACAATGAAGACAAGGGCCGAAGGGGAAGACGTTTTTCTTCTCTCTTTCTCCCTTTACTTTATGACAGCATTCAAAATGGGGCAGCTGTTCATTAATTGAAACGCGGTTTTCAATAGTGTAGCATTGTATGTAAAGTTTATGCAAAGTTTATGCAAAGTTTATGCAAAGATACATCACCGGAAGCCGTCGGTCCCTTTGAATGTTCCAATTAGATGTCAGTAGATAGTGAATCGAAAGTTAAGATACGGACATGTAAACCATTTTGATCCATAATGAATAGTTTCGACACAATAAAATCCCAAAAATTGATTTTGAACACCCTATATCTCTGTAATCATTCCTGCTAGACCCCAAGTGTTATGTATTGATGGAATTAGCTCTTTAGGAAGAATCTAAAAAAGCAATAAAATACAGGGTGATCCATATAAAATACCGAAGTTGCTAGTTGTTTCTGATAGAAGTGGCAACACTGTATCGATGAAAACATTTTAGACGAATAGAGAATGTTCTATTATCAAAGCATCCCAATTTTCAGAATGTTCTGTCTTTTCGTTCTCCAGATACTTCTAATAGGCCATCCACCGTGACCCACCCTGTATATGGAGTATCTTTCATACACAGTGGCGCTGGTTGGCTACCGGCCGGCTGCCGGGTGTTGTCCGTCGCTGCCACTAGGTCACTTGATGGTATTAGTAGATAAGAGTTCGGACACAGCTGAACTTCTGTCCTATTCTATTTTCTAAATCACAATGCTTCAGTGAATAAAAGAATAATACATATATTCTGCTCTTTGACTTTTCAATTTCCCTTATAGGTCGCGTGCACGATGACCGACCCTGGAGGTAAAATATTGAAACACAACCTCACTCTTCTGTGAATTATTGAAACACAACCTCACTTTTTTAATTTTTTTACAGAGGAATCAAAGGATTGAAATAGTTTTTCACAATATTTCGGCATACGAATCGTGTTTTTTGCGCTATTCATTAATTAAAGCATGCCTTCGCATTGTGCTGTTGTACAATGCACAAAAAATGCAGCGAGAGACGAAGGGATATGATTTTTCAGGTAAATAAACTAGGCGTCAATTGAAACGTTAATAGTGAAATTTGGCATCAAGTTCGACTTCTCGTAATTTCTAAAATATTGAACGAATTTTGAATTGCCGCCCAGATTCTGAATGCCTTTTTCATAGTCTTCCGAACCGTTCCTTACAGCTTCTTCTAAATTGATCAGGATCCATGATACAGGGTGAAACAAAGTTACGTGCATTTTGAAAAAAATTTCTCCGCTCCCCCATTTTGTCGGAAGACCACGATGCTCATATTTTATTCAGGCATTTCATAAATAGCAACCATACCTTGGAACATTTTCGAGTTTTTGCCAAAAACTACTGTGGTTTCCAAAAAAAAAAAAAATTTTGCATTTTTTTTAAATGGACTAATTACCTGTATCACCAAAACGATGAATCAGTCTCTTTATTGTCATGACTGACTTATTGAAAATGGTACTTAAATGAGTTTGGGTATATCCTAATCGTCGTAACCTGAAATAATAATTATCTGTACTAAATTATAGTTTATATCACTATAGTGATCTTACCTAATGATATTTTCCATTTCGACCCGATTTGAACGAGGCATCTTTAAATTTTTTAGGACCCGAATTACACTGACGTTTTCATGAAAATTGGCAATTGATATAACCTCTATGCATACCTACATTGTTTCAACAATTCGCTGTTATAAAAACAAGGTATCCTTGTTTGTATTTGTTGATGAGATGTGTTGATTTACTGCTCACTAAGGTAGAAAACTTTCATCATAGACTGCTAAGTAATAAATTATTGATTGTGTTTGAGTCACCTGGTATACATATCTGCTTCAACGATTTCCTGAAATGCATAAAAGCATCCATTTATGGAACTTCTCTAAAATTAGTCCATTTAAAAAAATGCAAAAATAATTTTTTTTTTCGGAAACCACAGTAGTTTTTGGCAGAAACTCGAAAACGTCCCGAGATATGATTGCTATTTATGAAATGCCCGAATAAAATATCAGCATCGTGGTCTTCTGACAAAATGGGGGGGTGGAGAAATTTTTTTCAAAATGCACGAAACTTTGTTTCACCCTGTATCACGGGTCCTGATCAATTTAGAAGAAGCTGTAAGGAACGGTTCGAAAGACGATGAAAAAGGCATTCAGAATCTGGGCGGCAATTCAAAATTCGTTCAATATTTTAGAAATTACGAGAAGTCAAACTTGATGCCAAATTTCACTATTAACGTTTCAATTGACGCCCAGAGTAATCTCACATAGTTTTCATTATGAAATGTTGTAATGTCTTATTAAAATTCCTTCTGCCACTTCTGCAATACAAGCTAATACCGCTAATAGATTGAAAATGTCTACAACACACACGATCATATTTCGTCAGCATGTCAGACCAGTCCTCCCGTTTGAGAAGGAATTCCGATGAGAAATCAGAGAAATTACCAAATTTCAAAATCAAAAATGAAAACTATATGTGAGTGATTATTGACCTATCCAAGATGCTGTCAAACCATCTAAATCAATATGGCCGACTGTAGGCACACATACTTTCGTGTCGCAATATCTTTGTTATAGCGGTCCAAGGATAATAAATATCCACTTTTATTCAAAACAACCATTATTATTATTTGATATATCTACCAAAGATTATACTGCTGCTACGTAAATCAACGAAAAATACTTGTGTGCCTACAGGCGGCCATTAGAAATTTGTCAAAAGTCACGTGTTCTGGAATGCCTAATAGTAGGTACTTACTTTTGAATCATAATGTACCAACCAGATTCCTTCGTCTTCCGCTGCAGCTTTTGTGCATTGTACTGCAGCACAATGTGATGGCATGAGCGAATTCTATATTCAACCAAGCAGAACAAATATTTTGAGTAATACACCAAATATCCTAGGTCCTAGAATATTCAATAACTTACCTGAATATTTGAAAAACGCAAAAAAAGTATCTTCTTTCAAAAAATGCTTGAAATCATTTCTCATAGAAAAGTGTTTCTACTCGCTTAACGAATATTTTCATAAATGACCATGTTTCTCTCTTTTATATAATGTTCGTCTATCATATTATGTAATCTGTCATTTATCTAGTTTTAGATTTATATACTTGTAACAACCTGACTATTCCTATACTTTTTTAGAAAGTCCAAAGGAAAATAAAGATATTTATTTATTTATATATTTATTTATTCATAATTAATGAATAGCCTTAAAATACGATTCGTATGCCAAAATAATTAAGGAAAAATATTTCAATCACTTGTAAACAAATAAGAAAAGTGAGGTTGTGTTTCAATGTTGTGCCTCCAGGGTCGGTCATCTAACAGTTCTTGCACGCAACCCATAGTGCCTGATTGTCAGATACGATTTCAGAGGTTACATTTTCTGTCAAATCAATCATAGCCGTAGATGGAAAATAGAAATAGAGTATAAACACCCACTTCAATCTATAGCGATACGGCACTTTTCGCAGAACAACAGCTATAAAAATGAAAAGAATACATGTAACATTTTGACATGACAAACAGTTGCCATTTCTGTGTCCGAACTCTTTGCTAACTAATACTATCCAGTGACTGCTACTACGGAAAAATATACGGCCTTTTTTTGCCGT